AAGAAATATCCCAAAGTATAGTTGAAGTACAGGATCAGATTGACTCACTGGCAGCTGTTACTCTCCAGAATCGAAGAGAACTAGACCTTCTAACAGCAGAAAAAAAGGGTTTATGTATGTTCCTTAAGGAAGAGTGTTGTTTTTATGCCAACCAGTCTAATGTTGTAAGGGATGGGGCCAAGAAACTAGCTAATCAAGCTTCAAAAATAAGATAGGAGTTATCCAAGACCTGGACTGCATTGTGGGGAGGAGGGGAAGAGAGTTTGGAAATGACTCCTTCCATGGACAGGACCACTGTTAATGCTACTCATAGCTGTAACCTTAGGACTATGTCTTCTAAATCTGTTATATCTCTTTATCTCATCTTGCCTAGATGCCTTTAAACTTCAGATGGTTCTACAAACCAGAAGAATTCCCTACAAACCATTCCCAGAGGAAGAAATGGGATGCTAACCCCTTGGTCATTGCCCCTTTTCAGCAGGAAGCAGATAAGAGCAGTTGCTGTCCCTGTTCCCCCACATTCACTTGACAGGTACCTGGAGTTTTGTAAATGGATTATTTTCATATGTAGTTTAGTTGCCCTTTTAATTGCTGTTTCATCACTGTGCCTCATAGCAGGCAAATCTGCCTTCATCAGCCCCTCAGTGATATCCCTTTCCACTACAGTTCTCCCCATTGGGGTGAGGTTCCCGTGATTACGCCATCCCAGTGTCTCTTACCCTTCTCTATGTGGTCTTTCTCTCATTTGTTGTTCAGGAGAAATGGCTCTGTATGTGGGTGTATATTTCCTGTGTCCTACCCTACCATCTTGGATCCAACACCAAGATACAATTTAAATTCAAGTATCCCTGGTGCCAACCCTGCCATTATCTGGATCAGCTGTGTTTCCTCTAGCAGAGCACACACTCCATCCCATAGCCATTGCCAGCTCTGTCTCACTTTCCACTAAACCTTGGGCTCCTTAAGAGTAGGGACCATCATCTTTGCCATGATGCAACTCCTAGTATCTGGCAAAGTGTCTGGCACAAGTAGGCACCCAAATATTTGCTAAATGAGTAATCTCTACTGCTTCTACTTAAATTGATTGAGGCTATTCAGCCACATTGAATGATCAAATACTCCCTTTCCTAACCTCTTATGCCAGTCTATAATTCGGTATAAAATGCCTCAACATTAAAATAAGAAAAGTATGCCCTAGGAAGAGCACGATGAGGAGTGGGCGCCAGCAAGGAGCCAGGCAACAGGGCCCCCGGGGTGGGGGGAGATGCCACTGGCCCCCGACTGCTGACAACGGGCTATGGAGTCGAGGCCTGGGGCTGCTTCCCAGGTGGCACCGACCCCAGCAACAGGCTAAAGCCAAGCAGGAGGCCGCGGAGAACAATGGGGCTCTGCAGGCCAGCCTGCTAAGCTTCCAGGACGAGGAGGAAGAAACCAAAGAAGTTTTCAATGTGAAGAAGTCAAGTTATAGCAAAAATATAGTAAAATTACTTAAGAAAGAATACAAAGAAGATCTTGAAAAATCAAAGATTAAGACAGAAATCAACTCATCAGCCAACATTGCAACATAAATGAGTTTAAAAAAAAAAAAAAAAAGACAGAATGTTGGAGCGGTGGTGGCCAGGCCCAGGGTAGTGGCAGCCGGGCCTGGAGCAGACAGGCCCAGAGCAACCAGGCCAGGAGCAGTCAGGCCTGGGGCAGTGGAAGCCAGGCCTAGGGCGGTGGCGGCCAGGCTCAGAGTGGCCAGGCTAAGAGAAGCCAGACCTGGAGCAGTTGGGCCCTGAGCAGCAGCAGCCAGGCCCAGGGCAGCCAGGCCGGGGGCAGCAGCAGCCAGGCCTGGGGCGGCTAGGCACAGAGCAGCCGGGCCCAGAGCAGCCGGGTCGGGAGCATCAAGGTCCGGAGCAGCAGCAGCCAGGCCTGGAGCAGCCTGGCCCAGAACAGCTCACTCCTCGCCTGCCCATGTCCCAGGGCTGATTCTCGGACATGGCTGGAAACTTTTGGGGGAACTTGAGGGTCTGCTGAATCAAGTGATGAAGGCTTAAATCTGGATGTGTTGAGTTGTTTTAGCGCTGGGGTGTTGATCTGTGAGTGCCTTGTGTGGGGTCTGGATGAGGTTGGTTGATCTATTTGGAAGTGTCTTTTATGTGAAGTGTATCCTTAGGCATGTGGCGGTATTATTGATTTGAGAAAATGCTAAGTAACTGATTTACTACCTGAAAAATTTAAAGTTCTGAAAGTTTAAGGTCTCTTGCCAAAAAGAGGTTTTAAAGTTAACACCTTAATTTTAATGGAGAAAGGGGAGGACAAGCCCTTCCCACCCAGAACAGGTAATCCAATTCCAGCCAGCAGCTATCATATTTTTAAACAATGTGTTCATTTACATTTGAATGGCTATGCCTTTTGATAGCCTAAGGGCAAGTTTACAAGTAAACAAGTTTGTTTCTCAGTTCCCAGGGCAGAAAAAACAAGGTTTAAAATTATTAGATTTTAAAATTTATTCTTAAAAATATAAAAGTTTATTAATTAAAAAAAACAAGAAAATTAAAAAACCTGATGAACAATATTAACTGTTGATTATAATAGAATCAGAGATACAGGAGGGGAGTGGACTAACAATTCTCAGGGAAAAGGAGAGTGGTGGATGCAGGAATAGACTGAATAAACTGTGCACCTATGAATGAGGACAATAGGGAATGGGGAAAGGGGAGAGAGTGGGGTGGGAACCTGGTGGAGGGGGAAAAAATGAGGAACTTTTGTAATAATATGAACAATAAATATTGATTTAAAATAAAAATAAAAAATTAATAAAATAAAATAAAATAAAAACTTTAGATGGGAAAAATGGAGATCCAATTAAAACCTTAATAAATGACTCTGTGTAGAATAAAATAAGAAAAAAAGAAGAAAAAGAAAAGTATGCCCCAGCTGGTTTGGCTAGTGGATGGAGTGTCGGTTTGCAGACCTAAGGGTCCATACCTCGGTTGCAGGCTCCTCACAACCAATCAATGTGTTCCTTTCACATCGATATTTCTCTGCCTTTTCCTCTCTCTTCCACTCTCTCAAAAAATCAATGGAAAAAATACCCTCGGGTGAGGATTTAAAAATAATTAATTAATTAATTAAAAACTTTAAAAGTAAAATACTTTGATTTTGCTATTGGATATTCAATTTCCTTAACTTGTAAAATGAGGTTTTAAAGACTCCTGTTGGCTTCAAATGTATTCCCTGCAAACCACACTGGTGCCTCCTACCCACCATTATATGTCCAAATGCAAACCAGGATAGGGAAGACAGAACTTTTCTCTTTGAGGGGAAAGGGCCAGAGGTGGGCTAAACCTCACTTGTTCAGTCTTCCATAAATCCTCCACAGCCACCGCCCCCACCCGTACCCTAGACAGACTTAACCAGAAAGCACAGATGGAAAACTATGGACTAGATGTTTCTCTGCAGTTCCACAGGTATGCACAATAATAATTATACATGCATCCATGCCCACTTTGTTCTTTAGTCGTCCCCCCCTGTCGCCCCCACCTCTTTATCCTTATATAATAAAAGGCTAATATGCAAATTGTCCCCTCCAGAGTTTGACTGACCAGGAGTTCGACCCCTCGCTATGATGTGTGCTGACCACCAGGGGGCGGTGCAGAATGAAGGAAGGCCCCGGCTGGCAGCTGGAAGGCCCTGATCTGCCCTGATCACAGACTAGGCCTAGGGACCCTACTCATGCACTAATTTCATGCATTGGGCCTCTAGTTAGGATATAATTGACATTTAATATAATGTAAATTTAAGATGTATCATGTGATGATTTGATGAATGTATTTACTCTGAAATGTTTACCAAGATAAGGATAATTAACACATGTGAAACTTCACACAATTTCTATTTCGTTGTTGTTGCCATGTTGAGAACACTAAAGCTGTACTCTCAGTGCAGCTTTCCAGTATACCGAGCAATATCCTTAACTAAGTCACCATGCTGTAGATTAGGCACCTTTTGACCAACATCTCCCCATTTCCCCCACCCTCTAGCCTCTCATGGTCCATTTCCTTTTTGACACTTAAATGGTATTAGGTCAAATCCAGGAAAAGAAAAAAAATACAGAGGAGGCAAATTCTGTTTCCAGAGAGCCAAATTGCCTTGCTCGTCGTGATGTTTTGCTCAGTTTTTCTGTGCTTTGCCTCAGAGAGTACCTAAGCGTTACGTGTAGGTAGGTGACCCTCCAGACTTACTGCTCAAATGCAGGGTGGGAAGGGGTGACGAAAAAGAGAGTGATGGGGCCATTTCTAATGCTTTAGAATATCCCGAGAAGTTCAATCCATAAGCCCAGAATTAATCTTAAATTTGCAACTTGTAAAAAGAGTGAGATATGTTTGCTAACATTGGTTCTGATAAAAGGACTGAAAGGACTGTCTCAGTATAAGTATGTGATGGCAGGCTTTAAAAAAAAAATCAGACAATGGCGACAACAGATAAAATGAACATGAAATGATTTATTGAGGAAATGACCATTCAGTTAAGTAGTAATATCACACAATGTCAGGTAATCTTCAACATCAGATCATCTTTGTTCTGCATTAGAAAGAACATTTGTAAATGCTCCATCTAATTCACTTGGGGATTTAGAATCATAGTTGTGATCCTGGTCAGATACATTCTTTTATGTATGGATAAAATGGATAATAGCTGTCTGTGTGTGTGTGTGTGTGTATGTGTGTGTGTGTGTGTGTGTGTGTGTGTGTTGTGTGTTTTGTGTGAGTGTGTGTGTGGTGGGGGGGTGTGCATGTGTGAAGAGGGACCGCCAAGGCAGGTGGTAAGAGGGAGTTCAGAAATACACAGATCTTGTCGTTTATCTTGAGACCTTGGTGAAGGGCTGTGTCTTTTTCTCGAGGCATAAATCTAGCAGTCAATGTGGATGTTTGGACTGTGTGGCGCCAAAGGGCAGCTCAAGAGGACATCACCTGCAGCCCAGGCCAGGGAGTCCCTGGGAGGGAGCAGGAGTGTCACTGGGCCTGTGCAGCAGAGGTGGCATCTGCAACTGTGGCATCCTCCTCTGAGGCGCTGCTCTGATTGGCATCACAAGCGGGTTTTGCAGCAGGGCCCTTCCTGGTCTCCTCCTCTCCTCCTTCAGGGCTCTGGTCCTGGGCACCAGGCGGCTGCTGTGGGCCTTGGAGGGGGTTGTTGGGGCTGCGGGCTGCAGAGCCAGCATCGCTCCCGCTCGCCTTGTTTTCTGCCCCCATCTGCTCAGAGGACTTTGTGCCAGGGGCAATGCCTCGGCCCCTAGGGCGACTCAAGCGGTAGCTAGGGCCAGGTCCACGGCGTGGTGGTGAACTCTCAGGCCTGGCGGCTGGGGCAGGCGGCGGCGCAGCCCGCGGGCCACTGGCGGGAGCGAAGGTGGAAGGGCGGCGGGTCACAGCCCTGGCCCTGCGGATGGGCGGGAAGCGCCTGAGCCTTTGGTCTTGGGGGCGGCGGGGCAGGCGGCGCCTCTGGCCCTGGGCTAGGCCCGAGTCTTCTCTGGTGCTCTGGTACTGGTAGTCATAGCAGCCGTAGTAGCCGAAGTACTGGTAGTAGTCGAAGAAGTTGTAGAAGTAGTCGCAGTTGAAGTGGTAGGCGTAGTCGCAGCCATAGATGTCCTCCTCAGGGCCCTTGGCACTGTGCTGCTGTGGCGCGCGATGGCGGGCGTGGAAGCCGCGGCGAAAGCGGGGCCGGTTGGCCGCGAAGCGGCTGCCCTCCACCCGGGTGCCGCCTGGCCCCGTCACGTTCGCAGCCTCGATGCCCTGCTTGCCCTGCACCACGTCGAACTCCACGGTCTCGCCTTCGCCCACGCTGCGCTGGTACTTGTGGGGGTTGTTCCGGCTGATGGCCGTCTGGTGGACGAACACGTCTTCCCCCGTGTCGTGCCTGCTGATGAAGCCGTACCCGTTCTTCACATTGAACCACTTGACGGATCCACTCACCCTCTCTGCGATGACTTTCTTGGGCGCCTTTTCCTTGGCGCCAGCGGCCTCGGTGGCCTCGGGGACGGAGTCTCCGCTGGCGTGGCTGGTGACTCGGGCTTGGACGGAATCTCCGCCTCCCAAGGACGGCAGATCTTTCTGACCAGCTTCCGGGCAGACGGCTTTTGGGGAGACGGTTTGGGGGGAGACGGCTTGGGGGGAGGCGGCTTGGGGGGAGACGGAGGCGGCCACCTCCGTGAGGGTGGACTCTCCTGCCTCACTCATGAGACCTTCCTTTCTCTTCCTGCTCCTACAGTCCCAGGGAAACCTGCTCCTACGTAGAGTTGGGCAGGCGGGGGGGGGGCGGGGGGGGCGGGTGCTGGAGGCGGGAGCCTTGCTCTGGGGGGGGGGGGTCTCTGTCAGGGCTGAGGACCCTCTCTCTGGCTTGGCATTGAGGCTCTTGGGAGAGGTCTGTAGCTTCTCCTAGGAAACAGGACCCGGATGATCCGGTGACGTCTCAATGGGGCTCTGGGCCCGCCTCTAGCTAGGGGGCGGGGCATACGAGCTCTGAGTTGTGCTCCTGGCACCACCTCACAGCCAGCGCTTCCGGGTTGGTCCCTGGCAGAGAAGGAGCACACAGGAGCTCTAGGGAGTGATCTTCTTGAAGACCCTCTTGCTTGCTTGAGTGGACCTAAAGAGAGGACCCACTTCATATCCCTCTCCGTTGGCTGGGGAGATCCACAGCCTTCTTTTATTATTTATTTATTTATTTATTTATTTTTCAAATAAATCTTTATTGTTCATATTATTACAAATGTCCCTCATTTTTTACCCCTCAGTTGTTCTCCTCCACCAGGTTCCGACCCCACCCTCTGCCCTTTCCCCACCTTCTTTCTAAGGGCACTTCCTAGTACTCTCTTGCAAAAGCCAGGTCCTCTTTGTGAGTGAGGCGTTTTGTGTAATTCGAGACAACCGCATTTTGTGTCAATGACAACCCCATGAAAGGAACGCCCAATCAGAGAAGCCCACTGTTTTCATTTTGGTGGTGTTTGGTTTTCCTGCAGAGAGGCAGAGGAAACCTGCCAGGGCTAGAACTCTAGTACTGAGAGGACATTAAACTGGTGCAGCTTTATATTCTAGACTGATGCTAGAGTTCATAAGCGGGGACTCTGAGGAGGAACACCTTTGCAACTAGAATATTCTGAAAACCCTGTTGAGCTCTGAGTTCTTGCCCACATAAAACAGATGATCACACAGAGTGAAACAGAGTTCAGGCAATTTTCCCATGTGTTTAACTGCAGATACAAACTTTGTTTTTGTTTCTCAGATAGCTGTCTGATCTTCATCCCGAATTGGTCTTCAGATTTAATTATATAGAATCCCTCATCCATCAGCTTAACTTCAGTATCTTATATATGGGAACTTGGCGATACTCACTGTGATGGAGCCTTGACCCTGCCTGAGTTCCTTGCTGTGGTTCATCTCACTGTGGTGGGGAAGAACCCAGGGAGAATGGCTATCCACTGCCCAAGGGCCTCCTTCCAACTCTGCAGCCAGAGTACCTGCAAGCAGGCTTCCCAAAGCCTACGTGGCAGTGTGTTTTATTTGATTCCTATTCTAAACCAATGTCAGCACAAGATACTGTGCTAAGGGACAGCTTGCCTTCTGAAATATAGCCTTTCCCAGGTGAGGACAGAGCACACTGATATAGTAGATTGTAACTGATCATAAAACTCAGTTTTCATTTAGTGACAAGAAAGGTAAGCGGTGTTGTCCTGCCATTTTAGTTTTAGAAACCTCTCACGTGTTGTGCATTTGATCCTTATCACAACCCACTCTAGAAGGAAGTGGGACAGATACTGTTTTTGCTTCCGTTTGACAGGTGAGGGCCCAGGCCCAGAGATGGGAAGTTGCTTGCTTACACTCAAATATTTTAAAATATAGGGTGGATCCTTAAACTTATCCCAGATTAGTTTCACTCCAGGTTCAGGTCTCTTTCCACCACATCTCACTGGTCTTCATGTGTAGTCCTGTCACCTATTTCATCTGATGTCAGAGACCAGTGACATCTTTCAGAGAGGTGATGGTGTCATACAACCCAGCAGGGCACCAAAGAAATACCTCCTGCAAAGCCCACCTGTCTCCCCTGTGGCCAGACTCCCGGGCCTGCTACTCTCCCAGAGCAAAAATTTGCCTTCATCTCTCCCAGAGCAAAAATTTGCCTTCATGTCAATTAATCAGTACCCCCTCTCTCCTTACACACACACACACACACACACACACACACACACACCCTGCCTACAGCCCAATAGAGAGCAAACCCTACTTACTATACACCTAGGAAACATTTCTTCACCATGCTGATGTAATAGAAAATGGAAGAAAGGGACTTGATTTTTATTTCACTCAAAACACACACACACACACACACACACACACACACAAACACACACACACACACACACACACACAAAAAAAAAAAAAAAACCCACACACTTCTTCAGGCATTATATCTTATTGTTTTCATAGCAAGAGTTAGAGCAGGGCAGCAGGGCAGGGAGCAGCTAACTGAACTAACCAAGGCCACCCACATAATAACTGCAAAGCTAGGATGATACCTCTGGACCTGAGGGCCCTCTGATTCCCAGTCCACTGATCCTTCGTGGCCCCATGAGGCCACTTCTGTGAAACCTTCAATAGTTTTTTCATATACATACTTGTATATGTTTATATAATGTGCTTTATTGGTGAGAGAGAGAGAGAGAGAGAGAGAGAGAGAGAGAGAGAGAGAGAGAGAACATTAAAACATGGCTGTGAGAGAGAAACTTCCATTAGCTGCCTTCTGCCCAGCACCTACTTGGGATCTCGAGCCCGCAACCTGGGCATGTGCCCTGACCTAGAACCAAACTGGGGAGCTTTGGTGCATGGGAGGACACCCAACCAACTGAGCAACATTGGCCAGGGCAACAGTTATTTTTTTCAGGTCCTGATAACTCTCCTTGCTGCTTCCCACATTGCCATGCCTGTTCCCATCCCTATGCCTGTGTTCCCCTTTTCCTCATTCTCTTAGGAATGCTTTTTCTTCTCTCTTTCATCTGTATAATTCTTACTTGCCCTTCCAGCTCCAGTTTTTCAATCCCCTGCCCCCCCCCATATTAAATGCACTAGTAAACCTCCTTGTCTTTCTTCTCTGAAACCTAGTTGCACCTACAGCCTACGAGTAATGGCTACTCTGCTTTCCTATGTGTAAGGTTTTCTATCTCACTATTATTCCCAAGTGAATTCTAATGTCACTGATGATTTATTTATTTTTTTCTCTCAGTTTTCTTTCCAGGTAACATGATGCCTGGAACAGGGCTGGCCTTATAAATGGCCACCGCACATGTGTGCTAGTGCATTAAACCTATGCCTCTTTTTCATCCTTGAATTCCTTACAACTAGTTGCTAGCGCATTGCCAGGCACAACATAAATTCACTGAGTTGGACCGACTGTGTCCTCTTGAGTATCTTGCTGTTGTTTTCATGATAGACAGGAAAGTGCTTTGGAGCCATCATGGAGATCAGTTCCTAGTTTGGGTGCATTTTATGCAAGAAGAAAGGCATTGTGAAAACAATTAATATGATATGAGTCGCTTGTTCAACCTTACGGTTTAATTTGCTGAGCCCCTTGTATTATTTTTATTGCAATCACCAGGTTCTGTTTATCTCTTTTTCTTTATTTTGCACTTCATCCATCCTGTGAAGGATATCGTTTAAGTTTCATTATTTAAGAGCTGGACGTTAATGCAGGTATAAGGTATCCCATCTGATCCATGGGCTTATCATTCAAAACTAAAATCTCTGCTGCTTCAGCCACAAAATGGGGCTGAACCCAAGACAGCACAGTCCATCTAGCCTCATGAAGAAAGGTAATAAATCACATTGTCTAAGCTAAAGAGCAAACAAATTGGCAGGCCTAGGAGAGGATGAAAATGCTTCAGGTCCTCTTTTCTTACCAATTCCCTGGTGGTTCCAGTTTGAAAGGTCAAATGGCTAAATGAAAAGAAGAACCTTATCCATCTTGCTCCTGCTATAACCACACCATCAATTCCAGGCTCTTTTGAGTGCTGCTTGCAGTCCAAGGCAACACAAAGCTAACAAAATACAGATAGAAATGATAAAAGGGGATCTAGAACATGCAACTGAGAATGCCGACCCTTGCCCCTATACCCTGCAAATGATAGAGGGTGAATCAGGGATACTATGGATGTTAATAAGTGGTTTAAAATATGGGCAGTGTTGCAATTTTCAGTGCACTCACAGCTGAGGTTTTGGGAGCTAGACATCATTTGAAATAGCTAGGAATCTTAATTCAGAAGGTCTGGGTTTGACACCTGGAAGGGGCTATTGTTGTCTGTTTAGTTTTGAGCAAGTCACGGCGCCTTCCTGAGATGTGGTCCTCTTGCATATAAAAATAAAATATAAATGCTTTCTTGATCTAGTTCACAAAGTAGTGGTGGCAACCACATAGAATACTTTAAGTGAAGGAAAACTTATGTAAACCATAAGCCGAGAACATTTTTCCATACAATACTCCGTGTTAGAAAGAGAAAGAGATAAAGAGGGAAGGAAATTGAAAAGACTAAAAGAAAGTGTGATGGTTAATTTTATGTGCCATTTTGGCTGGGCCATGGTGATCAAACATTATTATGGGTGATTCTGTGTGGGTGCTTTTGGATGAGGATAAGTTTTCAATCCATGGACTTTATAGGAAAATTGCCTTGTATGATGAGAGTGGGCCTTATCCAATCCACTGAAAGCCAGAACAGAGCAAAAAAAGTATCTCCCCTGAGCAAAAAGGGATTCTGCTGCAGGTGACCTATGGACTTGATCTGCAATGCTGGCTCTTCACTGTGTCTCCAGCTTGACCACCTTTGCATTTAAACTGCAGCCTGGGCTCTCCCTTCGGTAGTTGGTCTGTGAGCACATCCTATAGATTCTGGACTTGCTAGCCTCCATAATCATATGAGCCAATTCCTTGAAATAAATCCCTCTCTCTGTCTCTGCCTCTCCCCTTTACGCACACACACACACACACACACACACACACACACACACACACACTCACGTGTTATTAGTTCTGCTTGTCTGAAAACTGACTTATGCAAACTTTGGCACCAGGGCTGTTTCTAAAGAACAGAATCTTAAGAATGAATTTTCTGAATTGGTTCTAGATTTAGCTCTCAAATATTATTATATTTAAAAGCACTAATGACTGAATCTCCAGCAGGAAATTTGCACCTTGA